AAGGAATATGTGTCATGTCAAGAACGTGATGGTGGCGGGATAAAGGAAATAGAATCTCGCAATGTAGATTTTATAGAGATGAAATTCCCTAACAGGAAGCGGTCTTGTATGTTTGGAGAGCTCTATGAAGAGCTTGAATCTTGTACAAACATAGAGGTGGTTCCTCCACTTTAGGGTAATAGTGGAAATTTTCATATGATTATCAATAATAATTGGAGTGAGCCACCAGTTGAGAATGAGCAAATAACTCATACTGAGTCACCAACCATGTTAAAGGCACATATTAAGAGTGAATCACATGTCGAACTTCGAAGAAGTCAACGTGGGAAAATTCCTCGTAAACACTTCGAAGTGGAGGGTCTCACATGCATTTCACTTGATGCTGATGAGCCTGGCTCATTCTAAGAGGCTTTGAATTCTATTGTAGTGGATAAGTGGATGTCTGTTATAAAAGACGAGTTTAGTTCCATGGAGCATAATCAAGTATGTAAACATGTGGATCTGCAGCCTAATAGAAGATCAATTGAAAACAAGTGTGGTGTCTTGAAAATTAATAGGAAGACATATAGAACTATAAATAAGTATAAAGCCTGCTTAATGGCGAAAGGGTTCACCTAAATTGAGGGAGTAGACTATGATGAGACATTCTCCCCTGTGGTGAAAATGACCTCAATTTATTTAATCCTAGCAATCATCACACATAGATCTGGAACTCTTCCAAATAGATGTGAAGACTGTTTTTCTAATGATGGCTTGATGGAAGAGATATATATGAAGCAACCTAAAGATTTTGTAGCCCATGGCCTTGAGCGCAAAGTGTGCAAGTTCAAGAAGTACATATATGGTAGCAGTCATCAAGACAGTGATATATCAAATTCCATAGGACTATTTTGACTTATGTTTTTGAAATGCTTTAAGAAAACCACTGTGTGTACATTAAGAAGTATACAAAAAACATCCAGATATTGTTTTTGTATGTTTATGATATTTTATTAGCTGGGAATGACCTGGAGCAACTTTTTGCCACGAAGGAGTGGTTGTCCTCTAAATTTGAAATGAAGGACATGGGTGATGCGAGTTACATACTGGGTGTTAAGATACATTGATTTCACTCTCAAAGGTTTCTTGTTATGTCACAAGAAACATATATCTAACGGATTCTTGAGCGATTGCGCATATAAGACTCGAAACCCATAGATACTCTAGTTGAGAAAATCTTTGAGGAACCTCGAATCAGATTCTATGTTACCAATGAATTGATTTGCAGTTATAGGGACATAGTGATGCTAGTTGGGCAGCAGACCTAGATGAGCATAAATTGACTTCAAGTTATGTCTTCTTACTAAGAGGCGGTGCAGTCTCATGGTGTAGCAAGAAGCAGTCATGTGTCACTCTCTCCACTATGGAGTCTGAATACATTGCTTATAGTGGAGTAGTATAAGAAGCCATATGGTTGAGAAGATTTTTAAGGAACTTAGGTGTTGTGGCAACTGATAATGAGCATGTCACTGTATTTTGTGATAATACAGCGGTACCTTTTTTTGCAAAAGACCCAAAGTACCATGGAAAGTCAAAACATATTGATGTTAAATATCACTATATTCGAGACATTGTCGCACATGAACAAGTGGTGTTAACTCATATTTCTACAACTAAATAGTGGTTGATCCCTTGACTAAAGAAATTGTCAAGACCACTCATCTGACTCATGTAAGAACTATGAGGCTCAGGACGCTATGAGTTTATGTTACATTGTATGATCTGGGTACCCTATTATAATTATGGATGTCATTTTGTGTTATAATGGATGGTTTGTACACTTTAATACACACAAACGCACAATAGTGTGATATTATTATTTAATTTGTCAGCATGCTAAAGCTCACTACTCCCACGAGCTACCCTCAATATCTAGGCTATTGGAGGATGAGATATACACATGATGTATTTATCACCTCGACCAAGGGTTCGAGATGAGACTCTATAAGGGAAGTGACATGATCTATTCAAATTGACACCCTAAAGATCATGTAGCCTATAAGTAGCCTGGGATAAACATCAAGGATGTTCAGGTTGATGCATGGCTATGACTGTGGGGCACTAGGTGGCGACCAATTGCATGGTTGCGAAAAGACTATAACATGCATGGTGTGGATTCTGACGTACATTTGATGTGATCCACCATAACGTGTAATTCATACCACACATGTTATATTAGTGACCAAAATACTTACTCATGTGGAAAAAGATGATCCATACTCCTTTTTTCCACCATGCGAAGTTAATAAGTATGAGACTCGTCTGGGACATCGTTGAGACAATGCCCCGGTCAGAGTAGAATAATGTATGTCATAAGGGAAGACTATTTGATATTACACTCTGTTTTGGTACCACAAGAAAATAGTACACATTACGTGCGCATTGAAAATAATTGTGTATGAATGGGCTAATTAATCTTTTTAGCTGGGCTCATAAGGAATTTGTTGAGAACTTAGTCTGGTATGGTCAAATCGGATCTAAGGTAGGTGGAGCAGTTTCTGTTTTGCAGGTATTTGAGAGATGAGGTGTTCCATATCAGTTATGGTTCTCTCTAACATAATGTTCACTCCAGCAGAGCGCACACCGTATTTTTTCCTTTGAATGAAAGTACATTCATAATGCGATAATGAACGACAACTCTTATTTGGGCATGTAACCCCTCCCACATACTAGACGAGTGGCAGATATAGACAAGAGAGTGCATCCCTAGTGTGAGGTTATATCCAAGTGGACACACACCCTTCATGTTTGACTTACGTTACTACATGAAGGGAGGAAGGAAAAGGTTGCACCTCTTCATGAGGCGGTTACCCTCCCATAAATGGCATGCACCATGCACCATAAGGGTGCCCATTCATGAGGAGGTTACTCCCGCATGAATGAGAATGTCATTTCTCTCATTATAAAAGGATGATGGATGAGGGTCTCTACACACAACAACACGTACACAAGAAAGGTATGAGAGGTGTGAAAGCTCCTATTATGTGTGTGAGAGAGAGAGAGATAGAGTGTGTGTGTGTGAAAGAATGAAATTACAATTCCTCTTTCATTCGAGTTCTAATGATAAAACCAACCCTGAGAGATAGAGTTGTGCGTGAGAGTCGAGCTTAGACTACTCCTCAATCGCCATTGTTAGAATATTTGTGAGCTTCTATGTCGCTCGGGATTTGTGGCGTGGAACAGATTTCGACAGCTCTAGTAGTTGTCAGATGTGCCTACGTGAGTTGATCATTCATCTTCATATTCGTTCATCAAAACCGTTTTGCGAGCACTTAGGTATGATACTCAGTTCCCAATTGATTACTTTACTTCTGCTTTAGCCATTGGACCGTATATTCCAACATATGGGTTCTTTAAAATAACATCATTTTAGGGAACATGAGCATAAATTTCTAGAAAAAAGGAAAAAACCAAATCGTACTCAATGTACATGAAAAAAATAACGTCCCAAGGTTAAATAGAGACTGTTTAATTTGAAGGCAAGATCTAAGTGTTGAATAACAACTCAAAGTCCTATATTTGTTTTCTAAAATAGTTATCTAGTTATTTTTAAGTGGATCTTAAATTCTTTTTTTTGTTTTTTTAAATCCTGCCAAGTACCAATTTTACCCGAGGGAATTGAGCACAACTTGATCCTGCTAGAGCATGTCATACGTGCTAATTATATTTAACAAGAAAGCTCGAGCACATCTAGATGTTTTCATTTATTGTACTGGACCACTAGATGGGCCGAGTTTTTTTTTTTTTTTTAGTAATGCAATGGGGGAAGACAAACCTCTACCTGTTTTTTCAAATCGTTTAGGAGTTAGTTTTTTTAATGTGTTAGTGGGGTGGTGTTAGTGGGAATGAAAACCACAACATGTTGGTCAAGCTGTGGGGGTGCTACCACCACTTCTCCAGCCCCTTTCCAAATAGATGGGCCAAGTTGATTCGATTAGGTTTTTTACTCATAAATGAGCTTTTATTCATTGCAATTATTGGTCTAAGTTTTTCAAGCACGAGTTAAATACCCAGATCGGCAAGGTGGACCAGCCATCCAGGAAACCCAATCTAGGTTTTCAAACACTGGACTACCCATGATTTTTTTAAATGAGCGCCATGTAGCTGAGTGAAATCTTAGTCAAAATAATGTGTTTTGATAACAATCACACTCTGGTTTTTGTTTAGCAGAAGTTTATTTATTAGATCCTATTATTAAACACTTTGATAGATCAATAGTTTGT